CAAAATCCCTTTTTTTTTTTCCCTCTCCCCGATTCCCATTTTCCCCCAAATTCCCAAATTTTGTTTTTTCCCCCAAAAAATCCCAAATTTTGGTTTTTTTTCTCCCAAAAATCCCAAATTTTGTTTATTTTCCCCCAGGAAAGCCGGGCTGGGCTCGGGGCTCTCCCTGCAGCACCTGGTGCACCCCGAGCTCAAAGATGGGGCCCAACAGGTGAGACCTGACCCCAAAAAACCCCAAAATTTAACCCAAAAATCCCAAAATTCACCCCAAAATCCCTCCCTGCACCCTGAGCTCAAGGATGGAGCCCAACAGGTGAGACCTGACCCCAAAAACCCCAAAATTTAACCCAAAAAAACCCCAAAATCCCCTCCCTGCACCCTGAGCTCAAGGATGGGGCCCAACAGGTGAGACCTGACCCCAAAAAACCCCAAAAACCCCAAAATTCACCCCAAAATCCCCTCCCTGCACCCTGAGCTCAAAGATGGGGCCCAACAGGTGAGACCTGACCCCAAAAAAACCCAAAAAATCCCAAAATTCACCCCAAAATTCACCCCAAAAATCCCAAAATTTATCCCAAAATCCCCTCCCTGCACCCTGAGCTCAAGGATGGAGCCCAACAGGTGAGACCTGACCCCAAAAACCCCAAAATTCACCCCAAAAAAACCCAAAAATCCCAAAATTCACCCCAAAATCCCTCCCTGCACCCCGAGCTCAAAGATGGGGCCCAACAGGTGAGACCTGACCCCAAAAACCCCAAAAATCCCAAAATTTAACCCAAAATTCACCCCAGAATCCCTCCCTGCACCCCGAGCTCAAGGATGGAGCCCAACAGGTGAGACCTGACCCCAAAAATCCCAAAATTTAACCCAAAATTCACCCCAAAATCCATTCAAAAAACCCCAAAATTCAACCCCCAAAATCCACCCCCCAAAAAATCCAAAAAACCCCAAATTCCACCCCAAAAAAAATCCCCAAAAAATCCAAATTTCACCCCGAAGTGCAGCAGGTGAGGCCGGGCTGGGTTTGGGGGAATTTTGGGGAATTTTGGGATTTTTGGGGGGGAATTTTGGGGAGAATTTGGGTAAAATTCGGGTGAATTTTGGGGTGATTTTGGCTGTTTTTGTGCTGTTTTGGGGGTGATTTTGGCTGTAATTTTGGGGTGATTTTTGTGCTGTTTTGGGGGTGATTTTGGGGTGATTTTGGCCGGTTTTGGTGTAATTTTGGGGTGATTTTTGTGCTGTTTTGGGGGTGATTTTGGCTGTAATTTTGTGCTGTTTTATGCCGTTTTTTGGTGTAATTTTGGCCGTTTTTGGGTATAAATTGTGGCCGGTTTTGGGTGCAATTTTTGCTGTTTTTGGTGTAATTTTTGCCCGTTTTTTGGATGTAATTTTGGCCGGTTTTTTGGGTGCAATTTTTGCTGGTTTGGGTGTAATTTTTGTCCCTTTTTGGTGTAATTTTGGCCGTTTTTGGGTGTAATTGTGGCCTTTTTTGGGTATAAATTGTGGCCGGTTTTGGGTGTAATTTTTGCCATTTTGGGGTATAAATTTTGCCATTTTTGGGTATAAATTTTGCCGTTTTTGGGTATAAATTTTGGCCATTTTTGGGTATAAATTTTGGCCATTTTTGGGTATAAATTTGCCGGTTTTGGGTATAAATTTTGCCATTTTTGGGTATAAATTTTGCCGTTTTTGGGTATAAATTTTGGCCATTTTTGGGTATAAATTTGCCGGTTTTGGGTATAAATGTTGCCATTTTTGGGTATAAACTTTGCCATTTTTGGGTCTAAATTTTGGCCATTTTTGGGTATAAATTTTGGCCATTTTTGGGTATAAATTTTGCCATTTTGGGTATAAATTTTGGCCGGTTTTGGGTATAAATTTTGGCCATTTTTGNCCCCAAAATTTAACCCAAAATTCACCCCAAAATCCCCTCCCTGCACCCTGAGCTCAAAGATGGGGCCCAACAGGTGAGACCTGACCCCAAAAAAATCCCAAAAATCCCAAAATTTATCCCAAAATCCCCTCCCTGCACCCCGAGCTCAAGGATGGGGCCCAACAGGTGAGACCTGACCCAAAAAAATCCCAAAATTCCCAAAATTCACCCCAAAATTCACCCCAAAAATCCCAAAATTTATCCCAAAATCCCCTCCCTGCACCCTGAGCTCAAAGATGGAGCTCAACAGGTGAGACCTGACCCCAAAAACCCCAAAAACCCCAAAATTCACCCCAAAATCCCTCCCTGCACCCCGAGCTCAAGGATGGGGCCCAACAGGTGAGACCTGACCCCAAAAAACCCAAAATTTAACCCAAAAAAACCCAAAATCCCTCCCTGCACCCCGAGCTCAAAGATGGGGCCCAACAGGTGAGACCTGACCCCCAAAAAACCCAAAATTCCCAAAATTTAACCCAAAATTCACCCCAAAATCCATTCAAAAAACCCCAAAATTCAACCCCCAAAATCCACCCCCCAAAAAATCCAAAAAACCCCAAATTCCACCCCAAAAAAAATCCCCAAAAAATCCAAATTTCACCCCAAAGTGCGGCAGGTGAGGCCGGGCTGGGTTTGGGGGAATTTGGGGGAATTTTGGGATTTTTGGGGGGGAATTTTGGGGAGAATTTGGGTAAAATTCGGGGGAATTTTGGGGTGATTTTGGCTGTTTTTGTGCTGGTTTGGGGGTGATTTTGGCTGTAATTTTGGGGTGATTTTTGTGCTGTTTTGGGTGTAATTTTGGGGTGATTTTGGCCGGTTTTGGTGTAATTTTGGGGTGATTTTTGTGCTGTTTTGGGGGTGATTTTGGGGTGATTTTGGCCGGTTTTGGTGTAATTTTGGGGTGATTTTTGTGCTGTTTTGGGGGTGATTTTGGCTGTAATTTTGTGCTGTTTTATGCCGTTTTTTGGTGTAATTTTGGATGGTTTTGGGTATAAATTTTGGCCGTTTTGGGGTGTAATTGTTGCCATTTTTGGTGTAATTTTGGCCGTTTTGGGGTATAAATTGTGGCTGGTTTTGGGTGCAATTTTTGCTGTTTTTGGTGTAATTTTTGCCGGTTTTTTGGGTGCAATTTTTGCTGGTTTGGGTGTAATTTTTGTCCCTTTTTGGTGTAATTTTGGCCGGTTTTTTGGTATAAATTTTGCCATTTTTGGGTATAAATTTTGCCATTTTTGGGTATAAATTTTGCCATTTTTGGGTATAAATTTGCCGTTTTTGGCTATAAATTTTGCCATTTTTGGGTATAAATTTTGTCATTTTTGGGTATAAATTTTGCCATTTTTGGGTATAAATTTTGGCCATTTTTGGGTATAAATTTTGCCATTTTTGGGTATAAATTTTGCCATTTTNATAAATTTTGGCCATTTTTGGGTATAAATTTTGCCATTTTGGGTATAAATTTTGGCCGGTTTTGGGTATAAATTTTGGCCATTTTTGGGTATAAACTTTGCCGTTTTTGGGTCTAAATTTTGGCCATTTTTGGGTATAAATTTTGCCATTTTGGGTATAAATTTTGCCATTTTTGGGTATAAATTTTGGCCGGTTTTGGGTCTAAATTTGCCGTTTTTGGGTCTAAATTTGCCGTTTTTGGGTGTAAATTTTGCCATTTTTCGCTATAAATTTTGGCCGTTTTTGGGGTATAATTTTGCCATTTTTGGGTCTAAATTTTGGCCATTTTTGGGTCTAAATTTGCCGGTTTTGGGTCTAAATTTGCCGTTTTTGGGTGTAAATTTTGTCTTTTCCTCTCCCCAGACCATGCAGTGCCTGGAGCTCTTTGCCGAGACGGCCGAGGCTCTGCTGATCAAACACGGCAAAGGAATCGTGGGTGAGGATGGGACAATTCCCGGGAATTCGGGCACAATTCCCACATTTGGGGACGTTCCCAGGAATTTGGGGACGTTCCCAGAAAATTCGGGAGTCGGGACCCCCCAAAAATCCGGAATTTTGGGTCGTTTTTGGGGGTTTTAATTCGATTTTTAGGGATTTTTTTTTGTCGTTTTCGAGGGGTTTTAAATCAATTTTGGGAGGTTCCCAAATTTGGGGTGGGCAGGAGATCCCAAAAAGGGGGAATTTGGGGGAATTTTGGGGGAATTTGGGGGATTTTTGGGGAATTTTGGGGAATTTTGGGTGGTTTTGGTGCAGTTTTGAGAATTCCTGGCTGAATTTTACCCAAATTTTCCCATTTTTGGGCCAAAATTCTCAGGGTTTGCCCCAAATTTGAGGTTTTTTGGGGGGTCCTGGGATCCTGAGCTCAATTTTTGGGGTCCTGGGTGAAATTTGGGGGAATTTTGGTTCAATTTTTGGGAAATTCGGGCTTCCCAAAGCTGAAATTTATCCATTTTTTTCCCAAATTTTGGGGGTTTTACCCCAAATTTTTGGGGATTTGGGGGTTTTGGGGGGCGCCGAGTTCAATTTTGGGGGTCCTGGGTTGAATCCGGGTGAATTCGAGGCGATTTTGGGGCAAATTCTGGAGTTTTTCGGGCAAATTTTCCCCTTTTTTAAAACGGAATTTTCCCGTTTTTGGGCGGTTTTGCCCCAAATTTTGGGGGGGTTTTGGGGTTTTCGGGGTCGCCGAGTTCGATTTTGGGGGTCCCGGGGTGAATTTTGGGGGTCCTGAGCCCCGAATTTGCCCCCCCGACCCAAAAAAAAGAGAAACAATTCGCCCTGAAACGCGTGGCCGACGCCGCCATCGACATCTACGCCATGGCCGTGGTTCTGTCCCGGTAAACTCGGGGGAAATTCGGGAATTTTGGGGGGGATTTTGGGAATTTTGGGAATTCTGGGGGGGTCTCGGGGGGTCGGGGAATTTTTGGGGATTTTTTGGGATTTTTTTGGGGATTTTTGGGGATTTTTTGGGATTTTTTGGGGGATTTTTTGGGGATTTTGGGTGGATTTTTAAGGGATTTTTGGGGTTTTTTTTTTGGGATTTTTAAGAAATTTTGGGAATTCTGGGAATTCTGGGGGGGTCTCGGGGGGTCGGGGAATTTTTGGGGATTTTTTTGGATTTTTTGGGGGATTTTTTGGGGATTTTGGGTGGATTTTTAAGGGATTTTTGGGGG